CCCCCCTCCCCCTCCCTCTCCCCCCTCCCTCTCTCCCCCCTCTATCCCTCCCCCTCGCTCCCCTCCCCTCCCCCTCTCCCTGTGTTACCCTCTAACAGATGGTAGGGGACCTACTGCCAGTCCCCAATGGGGGGGTGATGCCAGTTTGCCGGGAGATGGCACTGTTCCGGTGGTGACCGGGGAACGGGACCCTGCCCCGAGCTCTCAATGGGCACCAGCAGCTTCCCCGAACGGAGCCGGGACTGTCAGCCCCCAGGAAACAACAGGGAAACGCACAGCATCATCCCATGGGCAAGGTGAGACCAATGGCTGCCCCTCATTGGCTGGGGCTTCACCCTGGGTAAGGGCTTCGCTGGGGGTGGGCAATAAGAGGGGGGGTGGGGGGGGGGGGTATGTGCGATGACCGGAGTGGAGGGGTGGGAAGGGGAAGGCCCACTGGCTCTCTCTCACCCTCTCCTGCATTGCCGTAGCGCCTAATCTCACAGCCACTGCGGTCTGCTGTCCCCGAGGCAGTGCCCAATCTCTCCATCTCTCCGTGTGACCCCAAACAGCTCAATATCGCCTCCTCATGGCCTGAGCTGTTTGTTTCATCTTTTCACTGGACCTGGATCTGCTGTGTTTATTGCCTCATCCCTAGTTGCCCCCCTTGAGAAGGTGGGGGGGGTGAGCTGTCTTCTTGAACAGCTGTGGGTTGACCCACAATGCCCCTTAAGGAGGGAATTCCAGAGATTCTGACCCAGCGACACTGAAGGAACGGTGATATATTTCCGAGTCAGGGTGGTGAAGGGCTCGGAGGGGAACTTGCAGGGGGATGGTGTTCCCATGTTTCTGCTGCCCTTGTCCTTCTGGATGGAAGTGCTTGTGGGTTTGGAAGGTGCTGCCTGAGGATCTTTGGTGAGTTTCTGCAGAGCATCTTGTAGATGGTACACACTGCTGCGACTGAGCGTCGGTGGTGGAGGGAGTGGGATGTTTGTGGATGTGGTGCCAATCGAGCAGGGGCTGCTTTGTCCTGGATGGTGTCGAGCTTCTTGAGTGTTGTCGGAGCTGCCCCCATCCAGGGTAAAGTGGGGGGTATTCCCTCACACTCCTGACTTGTCGATGGTGGGACAGGCTTTGGGGGGG